AACCCATTAACCCATAAAACAAATACCCAGTTATCAATCAAACATTATTGGACCTTTTCCAATTGTTAAATGGGTTTCTCATTTTAGCGCAATATTTTCCCCATTTTCTTTTTCGAACCCCAGATGGCAATCTTAGCTTCTGGAGATCTGCTAAGCAAATCAGACTATCAATAAGCTTAGACCATTCATTATGATCTGGATGGACCAAAACTCCCAATTTCTTTATTTTAGGGGCTGCTGTAAGAACTTCTATCTAGTTGGAATTTGCAGCGCGTATTGAATCAAGTGTTTTAAGTTCTGAAGACCCAAAATATTTTCTTTACAAGCAACGTATCTCAAGTGTATATTAGCTGTGTTATGTCACAGCGAAAACTTGAAAAACAAATACATTCTACATCCAATATCCTTAGCAGTTGAAAACGAGAATCTACTATTTTGCAGCACAGATAGTCGAGGTAAAATGTATGGTATTCACCCAGGCATAAGATTGCCCGAACCGAATTCAAATTACCTTTCTCCAAGTCAAGATTCTGGTTATTTAAAGCATTTGGATTCAAACACATTCTGCGTTCAATCTCCACACCTTCGGCGGACACATCAAAACATTTAGTTATGATATTAAAAAAACTTCTCAGCTTTTCCTTCTTTCAACCATAATTGTCGAAGGAGGTGATGAATTCTACAAGTTTTTACTTTACCACTGGCTCGTCGTCTACTAGCCAAAATCAAACTTCTGCTAACGAGATCCTCTAAAGACTCTTCCGCTACCTCTTCCGACATTTTATCACTCTTTGTGTTTCGAAAACCCTCAGCAACACATTTAACAATTGGAAAAGGTCCAATAATGTTTGATTGATAACTGGGTATTTGTTTTATGGGTTAATGGGTTATTGGAGCAGGCTTAAGAGAGATTCGCTTATGTGGAAGCCACGTGGATGCCATGTCAGCTAATTAATGCCTTTGAGAAGGCTTATGTGGACTGCTGTTAAAATGAAGGAATTATTGGTTCAGTTTGCTAACGTGAGGGATATTAATGGCCCAGTTTGCTAACGGGGGACAAAATTGAGCTATATCCAATAGTTTAAGGATATTATTGGACCTTTTCCGAATAAAATTCCTTAAATATTAAACGGAAAACCTGCATAGTGGATAGATTATGGATGGAAGATCATGCTGCTTTCATATGTTCATGATCGATGATTATTTTTTTAAATGTGACTTCAAGTTTGAGATGATCATGTCTTGAAGCTCTAAAGTAAGTGGTAGAAATGTTGATAAAAATAACGTTAATCCATACGGTATTAATATACTAGTTTTAGGGTATGCGCTTTGCGCGTATACTTATATCAGTGGTACACAATTTGAAAAAATCACATAATGTGTTTGAGTTATAAAACAAAGTTTAAAAATGGTAAGTTCTTGAAAATAATGAATGTTAATCTCATTTAGCTAACTAAATGAGAAAAGGCTCGCTCCACAAAAGTCCTTAGATACCTTATTGTGATTTCAAAATTATTATTTTTTACCTAATATTAAAAACACGTAAATCACAAAAATACTTTTCAAATAAAATAAATTAAAAAGATAAGTCTTTTGTTATTTTAGAGATTTGAAAATAAAGGGTTGCCCTATATCATAGGAAAAATCCTTAGGCAATGATGCTTAGTCTAAAAATGATTAATGTTGAGTTAATATTTTACCAAAATAATTTAATTTATAAAAAATATAGGGAACTATCATGTGTTGAAATGAATGTGAATAGAAACAAAAGTTAATTACAAAATTAATTCAATTTAGAATTTGTCTACTGTTATTTTATCATTATTGATTCAAGTTTGTATTTTTTTTAATTTGACTTTTAATACTACAAAGTAACTATTTTTCTTACTTTTGATATCGTCCATTATCACTGCTCTTTTTATAAAAATAAATTTATGTAGGTTAAGAGTTTTCTCAACTTGAAAAATAAATTTACATTTATTATGAATTTGAAAAGAAATTGAATTGGATACTTTTAACTGCTTAATAGTTAATTAATATAGAAATTAATTATTTGTTCTCAACCTTAAAGGAAATAATTTTTTTTATTCAAATTCACATCAGCTCATCCAAGCTTTAAATATTTATATGTAACAATAATTTTATCCTAACATTTATAACATGAAAAATTCTAAAATCCTTTGTGTTTTAGTTAATATTAATTTATCTAAAGTTAAATTTAGTTAGATATTTTTGTGATGTACTTTAAGTACCTTAATATATGAGTTCGTGCATTGTTCAAACAAGAATAAATTTAATAGTCAAAACTTAGAGTTAATTTTAAAGTATTAAAATAATAATTTGTCTAATGTTAATTTATCTTCAAAGGATAAATTTATTGATCATTATTTGGCATAACATCTTCTTGCATTTATAATAGTGAGTAGTAAGTAGATGTTTGCAAAACAAAGACAACGAAAGAGGAATCAATTTAGACTTCGAAGAAGAAAGGGATAGTTAAAAATTAATGCTCCGAAAGAGTTGACTTTTTTACTATTTATTTAAGGTAAAATTTAATTGATATAAAGTCCTAATTTTTAGGTATATAATTCAAAATAGGAAAGATTTAATAACCAAATTTCAACGGATTTTCATGTCCTAATTATTAGGAAAATAATTAAATTACTATTTTGTCTAGTGTAACATTTGTTTTAAAAGGGTAAAAAAGACGAACAACATTTCGCTAAGGGCCTTCGTGCTTTTAATATAGTATCGATTAGAATTAATATAAGCATTAATCTTTTTCTGTTGCATTTTTATGTAAACGTTACAAGACCATGCGCGATAGACAAGTTAGACATGAATTTTAGATTTTCTTTTTTAATGTCTCGCGATCTTTTAGAATACATACTCATACATTTTGAAATGTTACATAATTATGTTTAATGATTCAAAACATCTTACTTTGATATGGATAAAGGGACTTGAGTCCTATCCTTCTATCTAGTGGTTGTGAAATTTTGAAAAAATATTAAAAAATAAAAAGAGAAGATAGTAAGTACTTTATTGTTTGTTTATTGTTAATGAACAAGAGTTACCCCATAGAGATACTGGATAAAATTAAGCGGTGCACTTCATGGCCATAAAGTACGTAGTTTCTTCAATTGATTAGTATTTACTTTGATGCACAAGTTATTGTCACATATTATACGTATAAAGAAAGATATTAAATTCATTTTCTTATATAACAAAATATATACCTCTACTGTTTATAGTGAGATGATAATTATAAAATCTTAGGACAAAAGTAGAAACACTCCACATGTTAATGAAAATGAAGTTTAGTGAGTGGGGGTGGAGGCTAAAAGAGTCGTCGTGAGTGGGAGGGACTATATACTATGACAAAGAATTCCATTATTAGCTTTTTAATTAAAAAATACAAGTTGGAGCACTAAGAGGTCCTCTTATTCCTTTTCCCAGCTTTGTTCATCAATGATACTTAGGTTAATAGGTGGGCAACTCTAGTGATATCCACTTGTTTCTGTTTTATTTGTTTAAGAAGAAATAGGTTATAAAACAAACGAATAAATTAATAAATAAATAAAGTAAATTCCACTTTCAAGTACTTTTGTTTTTGTGAGGGAGAGGTATATTCTACAATTTCTCAATGATTTTAGGACTTTAAACAAGATTTGAAGGAATCATATCTCTTCAAAGCAAATAATTGATTGCTCATGAGAAAATAAATGTACCTAATGGGGCAAAATCTGAATTCTCCAAATTTAAATCTCTATTAAGTGAAAACAAATGGAAGCAATGTGATTGTAAAGATAGAAAAATGTAAATGAAATGTATAGGACGAAAGTTATGTACTTTTTAAAAGAAGGTAGGGCCAAGCTAATAAGTGGAGCATAAGAAAATGAAAGCAGTCTTCTTAAAGTATTTCTTAGTGGTGACATAAAAGTGAAGAGAAGGTTCATCCTCATCTCAAGTTATTTTGGAGTCAACTAAGAAGATATATCTAGAGGGAGCGTTGGAGCAACGGTAAAATTAGCTCGTATAATTCATAGGTTACGGGTTTGAGCTGTAGAAGAAGCCACTAATACTTGTATTAGGGTAGGCTGTCTACATCACATCCCTAGGAGATGCGGCTATTTCCTGAACCTTGCGTGAATGCGAGATGATTAGTGTATCGGACTACTTTTTTTTAAAAACAAGATATACCTGCAAGCTATGTATTGCACATACCCAAGATCTTCTTCTATCAAGAAGTGGGGCAGAGAGTGGATTTGGGAAGTGTAGAGTGTAAAAAATATTTATTCCTTTTGGCTCTAATCCTGCTTCCACCCCTGGTGGGGAGGTTTTGCAATTCATCTGTTTTTGCTTAACCAACCCAACTCACTGGCAAGTCTTTTGGTATCGTTTGACAAAGATAGTTCAAACTAACCTGCCCTCAGTTTTGAATAATCTTCAACCTAATTAATCACACAGAATGACAGAAGGTGGTTAAAAAGGGTAAAGGGCGGAAAGCCGCATGAAAATTATTTTATGCTGGGAGTTGGACACAAAAAATACTTTTGTACGCCAAGGAGCTTATGGCATTGCGAATAGAGAGATTAGTTGCAGAACTACAGAAAAAGGAAGGTGTGGAGAACCCCCCGCCTTTTTTAACTATTAAGATCACTATAGGCCTGTTGAGATTTCTTTTTACCATATTCAATAAGCTGCACAGAAGTATTAAGTCTTCAATTTGCACTCCAGCAAATTGTACTTTTCATTCTACCTTTGTTCCTCGCCGGCACTTAGGGGTCGTTTGGTAGGAGGTATTAGGAAAAATAATGCACAAGCTTACACATGCTTAGGGTACCACCTCTGCTAATGTAGTCCCTCATCCATTTCTTTTCCTTGAACATTTCAGCACTTATTTTCCCTGGATGGAGGAGACAAGGGAGGGGGAAAGCCACATGCCTTCAGTGAGTTTATTTGCGAAACAACAATGCTAATGTTTTATACAAAGCAATGCAAAACCAAACTATTCAACCAAAGCTGATCATATCTTGCCATATTTTGCATAGTCCAACAGCTGAAGCCGTGCAATATAACAACACATACGGAAAGCGCAAGCCAGCAAAGAAACGATGAAAACGCCAATGACTTAAGAGTAGGGCATACTCCTCTACAAGAAAATATTATTCTCTATGCTTTATAGGCGATGTGTCCTTGTAAGCAAATATACTTCCTCAAGATTCGACTATGTTAAGCCTACAACAAAATCATTGCCCTCCATCTTGTGCCAGTTTTACACCTGACCACATGTGGCATCTGCGTTCTCAGATAAAATTCATAAGACAATATGACAATAAAAAATGCTGAGCCGTGTCAGCTGTATATGCCCAAACTCCCTTACTCAACTATTACTGAACTTCTTAGCATCTTTAAGCTGCTACTGCTACCTTCTTAACACTTTTCTTCTCAGTTTTAAGAGGGGGTGCCACTTCAGGTTTCTCAATTCCTTGTATATCCGTGATCCTCAATTTTGTTAATTCCTAAAATGAAAAGGAAATGAGAAGTAACAATGTATTTCAGGCAGTAAACTCGTTGATGAATCAATGACTAACCTGTCGATGCCCTCGTGTTCGCCGATAATTCTTCCGTCTCTTCTTCTTGAATATAAGTACTTTAGCATCTAATGCCTGGACCAAGAGGAGGACAGAATAAATTTCCTAATCTATCTGGAATCAAATAAGATGAGTGCGTGTATATGAAGCAAGTTATGCAAACATCCATGCGCAAAGCCTGAAGATCTGAACCTAGTTCCACCTCTGTGTGCAGCATTCCTCGAATCAGCTCAGCAAGCACCAACAAGTAACATAATTGAAGCTAATAGTTATAAATACTGAAATATGAAGTTTTTGTCAATCAGACAAGTCATTCTTGCAGTATTGTATATTACTAAAATCGATCCAGTAACCACAAGTGGTTTAAGTTAGTGTACTATATGCAATGTACCCTTAAGAATATCACGATCTGCGATATGATGACATGCAAAAACCGAGAAATGATGCAGAAAAACATCATGATGTGCTCGGGAAATGGTCCAGAAAAAATATCACAATGTGCTTACCTATAAATCTCTCAACCATCTAAAGATACAAGAGTAAATACTATAGTCCCCCCAAACTCAGCTTGCTGCATTCATTTACAATTTTCCTAAAGACTTGAAAAAGGAAAACCTGGTGCATTGTCAGTTGTTCCTCCCAACTACAGGAACTAAAATCTTCATCATCAACTGGCCTAAAAGCTCAAGACCTAGATGCAAGGTTCTTTAACAGAATTGTAAGTTAGAGAGTTATTTCAGGTTGTCAATTGCTCTCATAATTAGTTCCTTCTGAAAGCCGGTGAGAATCTAATTATAGAAGACTCCTTTTACAGCGTAATTTTGCATGTTTTTGCCTTTCATACACAGAGTTGGGCAGAGCAGTATAAATTCAAGATGGAAGCCAATACTTGACAAGCAAGTGTAACTGCACTCATTATCAGAAATGTACTCATTTCCAGTCAGTAGCAGTATAATTCAACTTTGAAGCCAATCCTTGAAAAGGCAAGTAGAATGCACCCATTATCAGAAAACTCATCCACTCAGTATCTTTTCAACAGTGATGAAAAATAGATCTTAAATATTAAGAAAATTGTAATCAGTCCTCACGATGAACCCATTTATTTTTATTTTTTTGGATAAGTACTCCTCCCGATGAACCTCCACCTAGTTTTGACAGTTATCTTTACAGAAATCATTCACATAAGAATTTCTTCTTTTTATCTTTTAAAAGATCAAAGAGTGGTTTATGAGGGAATTTCTGTTTTTTAAATATGATAAAGTAAAATTTATGAGGGAATTTCTAATCCAACTTCTCAAACTTCATGGGAATTGACATAACACTCAATTACTAGTCAACCAGAAAGCACACAAATAACTATGCAAACAAACTGAAGGCAAAGGTCGACTCATGACACAACTATCTTACATGCTCCTCAACGACAGCATGAACAGCAGCATCCGGCAATATAGGCCTTCCTATGATTGTCTGATCCGTAGAGCCCAGCAGCAGAACCTTGTTAAGTATTAACTGAACACAAAACAAATGACATAATTAAGTATTCACGTGACACTAATTCAAATGTATGAGCATTTTCTCACAAGTAAAGGACATGTACAAATAAGTTACAACGTGCAAATGGAAAGCAGATAGCAAACTCTATTAGGCTCAAGGTTTCATAGGCAACATGATTCTGCATTGTGAAGCTTATCTCGTGCTTCAGCTTGTATTAGAAATAAAACCTATGAGGAACACAGACCATTTATATTTATGGGTGATAAGTTTGTTCCTCTCTTCTTTCTGTTAAAACTGAAGCCCTAAGATTTGTTTTCCAAACTATTTGTACAGTAGTAGTTACTTTTAACAAAGTCGAAAACCAAACAAATTGACTTCTTTTAGCACAGAAAGATATCACAACCAATTAGTTTCAAATGGAACCCAGGACTTGTGCATAAGCATCTCAAAAGATGTCCATTTCCAGTAATAGAGTTCAAGTCTCCCTTTTTCTTTCCTTAGTTTTAGAACAGAGGCATACTACCCTTTTTTGGTTATAAAAACTCACCAATTCTTCTCTGATGTAACAAATAGTTGCATGAATCCTTCTACAGTCATTACACCTACATATAACATGGAAGCCAGTGTTTGGAAAAGCGCGCGCTTCGTCGCTTAAAGCACGAAGCGACAGAGCATCGCTTTTCTGTGCCTAAGGCGACGCGAACAGTTGAAGCGCACGCTTCAGAGGAAAAATCGACGAGGCGACGAGGCGAGCGAAGCGACGAATTGATCGCTTTTGTTCAAAAATCGCAGCCGGGCCTTTTTAAGATTGGGTCTGTTTTTAATTTATACAAAACAAACCCCTAATTGCTAAGCGACATAACAGAAGCCAATTGCTGCGATTTTCTCTCTTCTTCATCGAAAAAATTAGGGTTTTGGGACAGAAAGTTTCTGCTTTCTTTTCTCTCCTTAGAAGTGAACCTTGTAGGTGTCTTAATGCACCATAAATCATTAGGTGGCGACTCTTCAAATGCAAAACCCAGTTCCCAAAAGGGACGAGTTGCCCTATACCCAAAATGTCATAAAGAAAGCAATTGGCTTTTTCTTCCGTCGACCAGTTCAGGTAAATTTTCCTCTCCTTTCTTCTTCTCATTTTTTTTCTTCTTTCTTTCTTTCTTCTTCTTGTTCTATTTTCTGCTTCTTTTGCTTCGTCACTGACTCGCTGGGGTTCTGTCTTCTTTCTTCCTTCTTCTTTCTTCTTCTGAGTTCTGTCTTCTCTTTTTTACTTCTTTCTGTCATTATTTATAATTTATATATTTTATATTTTATATTTTTCAGTTTATTTGATTTTTTTAGTGTATATTTCAGTAATTAAAATTAATTATTATATATGTTATATTTTTCAGTTTATTTGATTTTTTTAGTGTATATTTCAGTAATTAAAATTAATTATTATATATTTTATATTTTTCAGTAGCTTTGATTTTGCTTGTCCTATGGTTTGTGGATGATTTGGTGGTACCTAGTACCTACTTTTAAGTATTTAAATTGAAGTTTTTGATTATTTATGATTTTACATTATGTTTTTAAGAATTGCGCTTCACTTTAATAAAGTGTGCGCTTCGCTTTGTCACTTTTTTGCGCTTCGCGCTCTCAGAAACACTGATGGAAGCACATTTGCACAAATATTCAGGACTACACGGAAAAAATTACAAGGCTTTTTCATCGCAATATGTGGGATATAAACAGCTTTTCAAATCCCAATGGTTCAACCAGAAGAGTAATTTAAACTAAGTTACTACTATAGAGCCACTCCTGACTTACAATAACAAAAAGACATCAACTTTGTATACAAAACACTAAGAAAGTGAAAACCCCAACTTACCTTGTCATTGACTTCACAGAACTTCAATTTCTCAGTAAAAATGGAATCACCATTGCTCACCTTAAACTGGTGAGAACCAATCTACATCACAAAGAAAACCTCTTCATATCATCATACAGCTATAGCAACTTGAACAACAAAGTAAAGCTACTTCATTTTATCAGAACATATGTACCTGAATAACTGCAAAAACGGGCTCATACGGTTTGAAAACCCGGTCCGATCTCTGAAGTGGGCCAATTACCTTATACCCAATTTCAGCTGCCTCGTGTTCTTTCTCCTCCGGAGTGTACTCTCTACTGGGATCACTATTCGACTTCAAACTCTCCACGTCATCATCATTATAATCATCCTCATCATCAGTTTCTTCTTCACTTCCCTCCTCGTCATCGTCGCTTTTATTCGGTCGATTGGAACAGAAATGCCGGTGGAAAGATGAAAGTTTAGTGTTAACGTGGGGGCATTTTGGGGAGGGAGTTAGTGTGTGAAGGGAATTGAGGAGTGCTGGGGTTAGGGTTTGAGGGGAAAGGGAAGTGAGGGAATGTAGTGAAGATGGGTTTGGAGATAGAAGATATGTTAAATGACGGGTTAAGGTTTGAACGCATCGCCGATTCGCCATTGTTTTGGCTGAGCTTTGAGCTTCTGGGGAGTGATGTGGGGGGACTGATGAAAGTCTAGGGTTTAAGAGTGAGGTGGAAGTTGGGGGTTTCTGTTCTGAACTTCTGATTCACTCGGTACAACTCGGTAACATTTTCTTCTTTGGTTTTGCTTTTTCTTTTTGCCTTATTTTTATTTCAAGAGTAGTAATTTTATTTTTATTTTTAAATAACAGAGGTGTTTGCGTTTCACCTTTTCTTGTTAGCTTGCATCTATCATGATTTTCATATTTATCGACCATTAAACTACACCATTGAATATAGAGTAATCAATTCACCCTTCTTCGTTTGTAGCTTTTCGTAATTACTGGGTTAGCACTTGATGCGTGTTAGTGTATCTAAGGATACTAGTTGCTGGAGGCCCGGGCTTCAGTACGGGCCCAAATTCAAGATATTTTTCTTAGAATTAATAATTTTATTTTAATTAAATAAGTTTAATTCGTATCACATTTTTACTGCATAAATAATTTAATATAGTGACACATCAATCAAGTCTTGTTGATAGGTCTTCATAATTATTAAAGTTTCTTAGCAACATAATTGAATAATTTTGTTAAAGAAAAAAATTATTTATGAAGAAGCAAGTTTGGCTGGAGAATTAGCAAATATCAAAGGGGCACAAGTGATTCAATATTCTGTAAACTAATATGATTTAAAGTGTTCAAAATAATTACAACTCGGACAAGATCATAAATTGAAAAATATTTGACATTTTTATGAATTTGCGAGCATATAATTTCTTTAGTTATAGATTTCTTTTTGTATTTTATTATTTTGTTCACTCATAATTTCATGTGGTACGGGTTATGTAGTTAAATGTGGGGATTTAAGCTTAGTTTTAGACGAAATTCAAAAAGAAACCTAAATTTATCAAAGTGAACCTTAAGGATCAATTTAGTTCCATACTTTACGCTTAAGAAAAGAGCAATTTATGCAAAATATTCATTGTCGAAGCTTGACATTGTGGGATAAAATACTGCCCGAGCTAAAATACCCGGTATTTATGGACTAGTACCATACAAAGTACCACATGGCCAGAATAACAAGGTGTGTTAAAAGTGAATAGTATTATAAGTAATTTGAGATAATTTTTAATTATGTGGATAATCGGATAATTATTAATTTTAGTGGGATATTAACACTTAATTAAGATGATTGGTGGTTAATTATTGGATAAGGATAACCATCAACGTGGCAGCCTTACATTAAGGAATGGTGACTCTTAAGGTCATGTAAAAGGTGGCAAACTTGGAGAGTAGTAACGTTATGACTACTTCATGACTTTTTTGACTTCTTATTAGTATGAAGATTTGTTAGTAATTTATCCTATTGCTTGCTATGCTCGTAAAGATAAGAGATGGTCATGTATCATTTAAGAAGGAAATACTTAGGCTTGCTAGAAGGGATGTAACTCTCAAGGGAATTCGTATAAACCCCTACAAGTGCAACGCGAATTTCAAATTCTAAAGGAGTTCGGTACAATCTTTCTCAAGAATATCATGTGGATTTTCCCCTACTTCGATCTCGCTGTTACGAGTTTTGTCGCAATTGACGCGTGTTAAAGGGATTGTCAAGAGAATCGGCTCAGGAATGCTTAGGCCGCCCCTTCTTTCTTTTGGCATGATCTATACGACACAAACGAAACGAGCAAATGCACAATTTCCATACATAACTCTGTTCATAGTAATACTAGAGATGCTTATGTTCTTGATTCCCTATGTGTCATATTATTCTATCATCTGTTCATGGGTCTCAGAAAAATACGTAAGTTGAAAAAAAGTTTACTTCATGATATTAATCAAAGGCATAATGGTCTTATGACACTCCGAAAGATTTTATTGACGTACTTTCTCATGCATTGCATTCATTTACATTGACTCATGACCATATGGCGTTATATACGCGTATATATGTATGTATATATGTTACACCCATGTTTCCGTACGTAAATGTTACATCTCGCGACTTCGTATATTAAAATTTCGTCTTCAGTTAATCGACGTAGACTCGGAGATGAGATTATTTTGAGGTTATAAGCATTTATGCTATTCCTAACAAGTAATAAGTAAGTTCCGTGAAGGTTAAAGGGTAAACGAATCAAAGAAAGTGAGTTTCGTTGAAGGTTGTCGATTTGGGATAAAATACGGTTTGAGCTACAATACCCGACATTTATGGACTAGTTCCATACAAGGTACCCCATAACCACGATAGTAGGATACATAAAATGTATTAAAAGTGCATAGTATTTTAAGTAATTTGAGATAATTCTCAATTATATAAATAATTGATTGATTATTAGTTAATGAGAGATTAAAGTTAAATAAGACATTAGTGAATAAATTAAAATGTTGGGATAAGGCCTTACAGGCCCAAAAACGTGGCAGCCCCAAGAAGTGCATAGGATTCATTACATTTAGGTGGCCAAATTAGAAGCCTATGCAAAAGATTAGTCATCCTAAGTGGGGCCCACCTAAGGTAACATTTTTAGTTCAAAATTCAATTACAATCTCTTAGGAAAGTTTTCAGCAAAAGCTTGCTTTGCATAGAAACATTAATACTCCTCTTTTAAGAAAGAGTATCAGCAAATGTTATTTTTCATAAGCAACGTGATTTCTCACATCTTAAGAAGAAAGTTTCAACAAAGATGATTTTGCAATAGCAACGTTATTGCTTCGAGCATTTTATACGAATTGTTCCCTATTTCGATCTCGCTATTATGTGTTTCGTCGTGATTGGCGTGTGTTAGAAGGATTATCAAGAGAATCGGTTCAGGCATGTTAAGGCTATCCCTTCTTTCTTTTGTCATGATCCATACGATACAAACGAAACGAGTAAATGCATAACTTCCATAAATGACTCTATTCATAGAAGTATTAGAAGTGCCTATGTTCTTAAATTCCCGTGTATCTTATTATTCTATCATCTGTTCATGGGTCTCAGAAAATACATAAGTTGATAAAGTTTATTTCATGATATTAATCAAAGGCATAGTGGTCTTATGACACTTTGAAAGATTTTATTGACGTACTTATCATGCATTGCATTCATTTATATTGACCTATGACCAGATGGCGTTATATACGCGTATATATGTATAATATATGTATATGTGATATGGGAAAAGGTTACGGCGTTATATACGCACCACCACCTAATCAGCTGGTATACGTTGATGATTTGCCCACGGTGACCGTGATGATATGATGTGATGCCCTCAGAGGCTTAATGATGTTATGAACGCATATACTCAAGCATGGTATGACTTTTATACGCATATGCATGACATTTTAAATATTAAAAGATTCATAAAGTTGTTCAGACTTATATGTCGAGTCTTTTACTCCTTGTTTCCTTCATGTCTATTATTTACTGATTTTTATTCCTTACATACTCGGTACATTATTTGTACTGACGTCCCTTTTGCATGGGTACGCTGCATTTCATGCCCGCAGGTCCCGATAGACAGGTCGAGAGCCCTCCAAGTAGGCTATCAGCTCGTCGAAAGGTGTTGGTGCGCTCCATTTGCTTCGGAGTTGCTCGTTTGGTTAGTATGATTTAGACGTGTTTTGTTTGGTATGGCGGGACTCTGTCTCGACCTTTATGAAAATTATATATTCTTAGAGGCTTGTAGACAGATGTCATGTACGTAAAAGATTGTATGGCCTTGTCGGCCTATGTTTGGTGTACGAGTGGTTATTTCGGTCTTATAGGCCCGTATGTCTTATATATAAGTTGGTATCACATGTTGTATTCTACTTATCTCACGACAGCCTTCTGGCTCAGATATCTATGATAGTATGACATGAAAAGATACATTATGTTGGTACTCGATTGAGTAAGGTACCGGGTGCCCGTCGCGGCCCATCGATTTGGGTCGTGACAAAAGTGGTATCAGAGCAGTTCTGTCCTAGGGAGTCTCAAGCCGTGTCTAGTAGAGTCTTGTTTATGGGTGTGTCGTGCACCACACTTATAAGCAGGAGTCTACAGGGCATTTAGGAGTGTCACTCTTTCTTCTTACTCTAGATCGTATGGTAGAGCTCAGTTGTAAGAACTCAATTTCCTTAACTCTATCTTATTCATAATACAACGATGCCTACATCTACGAAGATGGTTGGTAAGGGGTTGAATACGTCTGTGGAAGAGTTGAGTCAGAGGGACTCTTTTTTTCATAGTGCTTATGATGAGTAAATATAAGGTCTTCAGTAGATCATGTGTGTACTAAGACGTGTAAGTCTTTTGATAAGGAGCCTTAAGGCAGGAATATTCTATCCACCCCTATGGTGAAAGGCGATGGGAGATTCAGAAGATAGACACAAGTTTCAATAAGTAAAAGAAGCAGGATGAAGAAGGGTACGAGGCATCCAGTTAATAAAGATTATCAGTATTTACAATACAGGCAGAGGAATATAAGCCTTTTGAGTTACCTTCAACAACAATAGAGGTATGTACAATTGGCCACACCCATCTCATTTATTCCCCATGGGGGCTAACAGAAGTAGTATAAGAGAAGGACGAATATAAGGATCCGCTAGGGTTAGAGTGACCCAAAATGGTGGATGGATTGTTTATGTTAGTTGACATTTCCAAGGATATTGCAAATGTGCTAATAGATCTCCTTGCGAGACACCCAGATGGTGCACTCTAAAATAGTACAGCTAGATATGAGTACTACAAAGATAGGCACTGGAAGCCTAGAAGAGATAAATATTACCTTAGTGTGGCTCCCGTCCCTAGTAGAGGGAGAATGTTAGGCAACTGGAAGAGCCAAGGGATGGAGCAAGGGGAGCTAAATGCAAGTTGAAGTTTTCAGAATAAAGTGATAGACAGAGGGTTAGCAGGGAAATAAGAAAAGAGTTAATGAAGCATTATGAGTAAGATGTGATACATGGATGACAACGGTAGGAAAAAAAATAAAAAAATAATAGTATTACAGAGTCTATCGACAAGGGAAGGAAAAGACAAGAGGTGACAGGCTTCGAGACAACAAAAGAGTATAGGCCATAAAGTCATATCCTCATTTCGAGAAATAAGTTCGTGACTCTAGCGTGATTAACAGAAGGAAAAGCTAGACCCCGGAGTAATAGAAATCAGTATGGACTGTTGAACAAACTAA